TATAGAAATTTCCATTTGGAAGTCGGTTTGCAATTTTGGCCCTAAAACTCTACTCAAGCAGCACTACTCGAATTTCTTTAAGAGAATTAACCTCGTATTACTGGTCACAAGAAACATGCTTCCGATTGAGCAGGAAAGCCCTCAACCCATGGGGCGTATTAAAAACCTTTTTTTGGGGGGGGGGCATGGCTTCAAATTCTTAATCTTTAAGCCTCTTTTAGACCAAATTAAATTACTTATTGCAAAGATTATGAAATTATTGCCGCAACAATACTACATAAAAGAAAAACCAACATCTAAAGATAGGAACTTGAGACAATTTCTAACAAGTTCACATAAAGAGAAAGGCCATGAATCAATTAAAGCAAAGAGGATTTGACCAAGGCATTGGACAATGCATGGATTTTAGAGTGTTGTGTCATTCATTGAGCTTCAGAAGAGCATTTTAATGTCTACTTGAAATGAACCAAAAATAAATAAATAAATAAAATCTATTGTTATAACTTTGTTATTAGATAGCTGACACTTAAAGTAACATTCAAGATCATAGATTTCTACTGCGCATTTATGTGTAAAATAATGATGGTGCCATTCAATGGTTGTGCTCTTGATTTTCAAATATTTAAATAAATAATAGGAAAGCCCAAAAAGAGAAAGCAAGATAAAAGAAAAATAAATAGAAGGCTGGGAAATAGTTGTTAGTACTTCTAGCTTTACAACTTCTTTTGTTTCATTTTGTTTGTTACTTATTATTTTTTTAATTGGTTCAACTTACCTATTGATTTGAAATTGAAAATATGATTAAATACGTTAGATGTTACTTATGAAAGAAATTGTCTACATTGTTTGGTTTTATACATAGCAAGTAATTCCCCATGAGTAGAAACATATGGAAGTGTATTGATTCTTTAATTAGAATGACATAGCTAGCGGTTTGTGGTTTACCTAATTACTGTTTTTGGTGAAATAAAAAGCGGGGGAGGGGGGGTGTGCGCTCTCATTCCATACCACTATATATATATTCTCTACAATTGTGAATTAGAGTGAAAGTCTTTTTAAAAAGTACCTAATTACCTATAAAAGCAATAAGTTGGTCATTTTCACTTATGGTTCTTTGGGGTTGACTTTTAATGACATTTGAGCATGGTCATATGCTAATTTGAGCAAGATGAGACATCTGGATCTAAGTTATAATAATTTTGACGAGGATGCCTTCAGGATTTTGGGTGCTCTCCCATCCCTTAAGTTTCTATCCTCAGTGCCCAATAGCATGGAAGGACCACTTTCTAACCAAGGTATGTGTATTTTTTATTTCTCAAATACATGTTGCATAAGTTAATTTTTTTAGCTCCATTTGAGTGTTGAGAAGACATAAAATAGTTGGAAAAATGAAGTCTTACAGCTAGCAATTTGTGCAAAATTATAGTTCTTTGTCAAATATATCTTTCTGGAATCTATTACTGCCTTCAATGGCATCATTGTCCTTAAATTTTTTTAACATTACATTTTCATTTGAAATTGAGCTACTAATTGAGGTGCCCATAGAATATAGTTCACAACATCAAATTATATTTATCTCTATTTTCCTTACCTCAATCTAATTAACGAGTCTCTTCACTTGGGTTACATGTTGTTTAATAATCAAATTTAATAATCCCTTCTTTTTTTTGATATTTTATTGATACCATCATCATTATTATTATTAAAGTCAGCCCTTCTAAGTTTTAAATTGGTGTTGGTTGCTTCAGCCATTGTTCTCTTTCAATTAGCCAGCATATTTGTGATTTTTTAGGTCTTGTTTGTTCCTATGTTTACTTTGATTTGTAGTAGCACTTTCATTTCAAAATGCATCTGCCACTGCTAGTATAGAAGTAGAATAGTGTTTTGCTGATTTATTTTTCATTTCTACTCATATTGTGTCCTCTATTGAAATAAATTAGTATGAAATCTAAGTTGACTTCGATCATAGGAATACAGAGCATGGATTCTGCGAGACTGAACGTTTTGAATTATTTGTTAACAAGCGTGAAGTATGTCATAGCAGCTAAGGATTTCTATTTAGTTCTTTATTATTGTTATTTTTTTAAAATAGTGATTTTCTAAGGATTATGTATATATATACTTATATTTATATTTTTTCCTTGCAGTAGTAGCACTTTCATTTCAAAATGCATCTGCCACTGCCAGTATAGAAGTAGAATAGTGTTTTGCTGATTTATTTTTCATTTCTACTCATATTGTGTCCTCTATTGAAATAAATTAGTATGAAATCTAAGTTGACTTCGATCATAGGAATACAGAGCATGGATTCTGTTAGTGATGATGTTGCAACTTAAAATTAGACCAAAATTTTTGTGTTATATATGATTAATGATTAGATTTCTAAATGCAGCTTGTGGAGCACTTTCTGGAGGAGACATGTGTAAACCCTACTTTCATTATTAACCATCCAGAGATTATGAGTCCATTGGCAAAGTGGCATAGGTCAAAACCAGGCTTGACTGAACGTTTTGAATTATTTGTCAACAAGCGTGAAGTATGTCATGCCAGCTAAGGATTTCTATTTAGTTCTTTATTATTGTTATTTTTTTAAAATAGTGATTTTCTAAGGATTATGTATATATATACTTATATTTATATTTTTTCCTTGCATGCCATCTATGTTCTGTACGTAGGTTTGCAATGCATACACGGAGTTGAATGATCCTGTGGTACAACGCCAACGGTTTGCTGACCAACTCAAGGTATTATGATCATTAGGAATTGAATCATTGTGGCATGTAAAGTCATGTTGTGTGGGGTGCCTTGACTAAAGATTTTTGTATGATTAAATTTCAGGACCGACAATCAGGTGATGATGAAGCAATGGCTTTGGATGAAACATTTTGCATGGCTCTTGAGTATGGTTTGCCCCCAACTGGTGGTTGGGGACTGGGTATTGACCGACTAACAATGATGATGACAGATTCGCAGAACATCAAGGTTTGTGTTTTACCTTTGTGTGGTTTGTGTGAAATGTTCATGTGTTATCAGTTTATGGTTTTGGATTTCCTTGCTGGTGATTTTTCATTTGTTTAATTTATTGGTAGTGTTGGTTTGGTGGGGTTGGGGTTGGGTGTGTTTGGCTGGACGTGGGAAGTTTCACATTCTACAATAGAAAGTTTTTTCGACTGAGCTTTTTTACTCAAGTGTCAATTGTTTTGTTTTTTGGTTTGGGGACAGGAAGTTCTACTCTTTCCGGCCATGAAACCTCAGGATGAACCTTCTGCTAAAGAACACATCCAAACAGCTTCTGGCTTGGGTCCAGTATAGGTTTTCAATCTGCCAATATGCATGCAAATCTGCCTACAGAAGGTTTACTTCTGTTTTGGTTATGCATTTAAATCTGCCAAGAAACATGCTGTTGGGTTGGATTATTTAGTACGATATGTTTTATTACTGCTAACGGTTTTCTATACATGCTGAAATATTGATTTCCTTGCAGTTCTCTAGATTAGTGGGATGGAGCAAACCAACTTCTTATTTCAGCAAGATTCATAGGTACTATGATTCTGCTTTTATGTTGTGATGGAAGTTCAAGATCTTGCAATGATTTTTTTCCAAAATAGTCGTTTGAATCCCTAAATTTCTTTTGCATGGTGTCTGTGTCCTATTGATTTTGTTTGAGAAGCTGAGTCCTATTGATTTTGTATTCTACAATTCTAACATTTTGTGCGTAATGCAGCTTGTCCCTGGTGGTTCTCCTGATCCAGAATGTGTGGTGGTATGCAAGATTGCTTTTGTTAGCGCCGTCAGATTGGCAGATCTAAAGAAGAATGCTGATGGACAAGAAAGTCTGGTGTTTGCTACTTTAGCTGGTGACCTGGTAGTCCGAGGACTAATATTACTATCAGTTGTTATGACATTTTTTAATTTTTTAATTTTTTTTGTTGGTTCTTGTATTTGAAATAGAGAGTTTATTTGCATTGATGACTTATTCTTAACTCAGTAACTCTCCAATGACCATATGAAGATTTCTAGATTGTGAGAAATATGAAATATTTTTGTGTAACATACAACGTTTGATTTGTGTGAATGTTTTGTTTTTGCACAATGATTGTGGACTATCATTTTATAAGATTTTACTATATGAATGGGAGTTATTATTTTATATTAGTACTATTTTAGTTTGATTATAGGTATTTTTTTAAAAAATTAGCACATTTTTTTTTTTAAAAAAGGGGCTATCACGGCGTTTTTAAAAACGTCGCTAAATAGTTGGGAAAAAGAGATGTAGTGACGTTTTAAAAACGTCGCTAAATAGCATGGTGACGTCATGTTACAATTAGTAGAACTTTTAGCGGCGAACGCCGCCTATAGTAATATAGTGACGTTTCTAAAGCGCCATAGAGTTATAGCGACGGCCGCATCTTCGACGTTTAGTGCTAAACGCCACAAAAAGATTTGACGGCGTTTTTAGGACTTATAGCGGCGTTTTTCAAACGCCTCTAAAACCTTGATTTCCAGCAGTGCCCCTTACTGATCTACACCATTCATGATGTGTGGGGCCCACTCATGTATGTGTGGGGCCCACTCATGTATGTGTGGGGTCCACATCATGAATGGTGTGGATCACAAAGGGGGTTGTGGAGGTCTTCCACAAAGGGGGTCTCTATCATTGCTGGAAATAATAACGTTAGAAACCAATAATTCTTGTTAGGAAAAGCATCCTACTGACTTGTACTGAAATAATAACGTTAGAAACTAATAATTCTTGTTAGGAAAAGCATCCTACTGACTTGTACTGAAATAATAACGTTAGAAACCAATAATTCTTGTTAGGAAAAGCATCCTACCGACTTGTACTGAAATAATAACGTTAGAAACTAATAATTCTTGTTAGGAAAAGCATTAATAATGTTCGAAACCAATAATTCTTGTTAGGAAAGGCATCCTACTGACTTGTACTGAAATAATAATGTTAGTAACGCTAGTGTGCCAATAATGTACCAATAAAATCACAGCATAAATAAATAAATAATTAATGTACCAATAAAAAATAACTATTTTACTCATTTTGCTAATGGTCACACACTGCTATAAGTTAAGACCATTGCTTGGTGAATTACTCGCTCCCTTGTCGAACATGATACTTGAGCTGCTCAAGTCTTACTGTGCTGTGCTATGTATTTTCTTCTCAATTTGCCTCCTACCAATTATATACGAAAGAAGATTGAGTATCCACAATAAATCATCAATTTAACAAGTAACTAACCAAACTTAATGTTGGGATCCGGGGATCCCTGCCAAAATATCTAGAACAAATCACACACAAATAAGACAAACAAATTTAATGCGGTTCGGCCCAATACTTACGTTCACGGGAGAAAAACTAATTTTTACTATATCAATAGAAAAGATTACAGAAAGATTACAATAGAGGAGGAGACTCTCTCTCTCACTCAACTCAACACTCAGCTCCCCCTCTCACACCGAGAGAGCTCCGTCTCTGCCACAGAGGGTCTCTCTCTCTCTCTACATTTTCCCACTGGTTTTCTCATATTCTCTCTCTTCTCTCTCTTCCTTTATATTGGTGAAAATATCAGAAGAATTATATTTTATTGATAAATAATGCGAGAAAATGAGATACAAATAGATCAAACTGAGGCATGGATATCTCGTTTTCTTTAAGGAGATCAAGCTCACTGTGGTAGGAAGAATCCAAATACCCATACAGCAGTGACAAAATATGACTTGTCCCCTCTAAGATACAACAGTCCGACCACTTGTCGTAGGTCGTATGGTTCAGGCCAACTCTGCACAAGATAGTGAACCCAAAGCTCCACCAAGAAAAAACACCATTCTTTGGCTAGTAATCTCTCAAGTATAAAAAAATAATTAGTGTAAAAAAGAGTAGATGAGATGAACTATTTATAGGCCACTAGAACTTACAAATTACACCAAAAAATAATAATGACCATTAAACTAGAAAAAAATAGTCTCCAAATATAAACTCACCACCAAGTTCATGAACTCCAATTAATCTTCATTCATGAACAAGACAAAAGGACACCAAAACAATGAATCTCCATTCATGAACAAGATGAGATTCATGAACAAGACAAAAGAAGATTCATGAACAAAAAATATATATATATATAAATAAATAAATAAAAGTTATTAAAATGGTCTAACAATCCCCCACTCATTTTAATATCAACAAGGACAAGAGATATTACCAAATAGAGATAGACTAGTATGCATCATGAAAGTGTGTTCTGCATTGAACATTCATTAGTGAAACAGCAATCTTTTCTCTAGAGTCAATAATGGTCTCAGACTTGAACTATGACTACTTAGGGGAAATAAAGTATTACTGCTCACACATAATAATCTAGGTGTTGACATGAGCTTTTAATAGCCAGTACATTATGGCCTTGTGCTAATCCTAATTTTCATAAGCATATTTGAGAATAAACCTTGTTCTCATAGAAAGCGGCCCCACTTTCATGCTCACTTAGGCACTACTAGAAAAGGGAGCTTTAGCTATGGAACTTTTTGCGACGGTTTAAAAATTGTTGCAAAAAGCAAGTATTTGCGACGGCAAATGAAGCCGTTGCGAAACTTTTTGCGACGGATTGATTTTTGTCGCAAAAGCTTCACATTTGAGACAGATGAAATAATTCATCGCTAATAGTATTTGTTGAGAAAGAAAATAATTGTCGCTGATAAATAAGCAAAAAGGCGTTATCATTAGCAATGGAAACAAATTATCCGTCGCAAAAGGATCTATCAGTTGTAACAGATAATAAACCGTGGCAAAAGAAATAATTAAAAAGATATAGTTTTATGTTTTTTTTGTGCATCTGTCTGTCCATCACAAATAATACGAGGCCTAACTCCCTTTATTTCATTTTTACGCTATATCTCTTCCTCCCATTGGCATCGCCTCACTCCGACATCCTCCCACCGCTGTCACCCCACTCCGCCATTTCTGACGCCGTCATCTTCCCACCGACGATCATTCAAGAAGAAAGTACAGCAAAGCCCGATCAGTATCTGAGTTTCTCTCTCTCTCTCTCTCTCTCTCTCTATTTATGAAAAGCTCATATAGATTTCTGTATTTTTTCTGTTTGATTTAGTTTGATCTTTCACATTTGGAGATCATGTCTTTTCTTATTTGATTCGATTTGTTGAATACTGAATTTTATTTTATTTATTTTGAATAGTTCAATAATTACTAATTTTCTTTTTTGGAACCCTAGATCCTTGTTGTTGAAGCCCTAGGTTAGCGAATCTCTGTTCTGGATCAAGTTCCTTCGAGTTGTTCTCAATCGACAGTCGACGATCTTCTGGAGGTGCGAATTGCAAATCTCTCTCTCGAGCGCGCGCGAGAGCCCAGTCGTCAGTCTCTCTCTCGCGGCGGCAACAACACCAGCGCCACCTCACGCAGTGGCAACAACACCAGCGCAAACACCTCTCGCTCTCGCTGTTAATACACCAAAAGCCACATAGGAGAGAGAGAGAGAGCGAGAGTGACTGACGGCGGCCGGAAGTTCTACCTCTGCCCAGCGCCACCTCTGCACAAGAGGGCATCAAATCGGTATTGGGACATCGATCAGCACCAGCGCCACCTCCGTCTCTTTCTCTTGCCCATCCATGGCCTCATTGCCACCGCTGCCTCACCCATGTTCTTCCCATAGGTACATCTCTATTCGAGGAGCCGTGCCCATGGCTAATTTGCATCTGATTATAACTTGTTTTTGAGGTAGGTTTCTCGGTTTTTGATCTATTTGACCAATTGAACTCTGATCAGTCTTGTTTATACTGTTTATTTTCGTTAAATTTCAATTGGGTTTTAGTAATAATCTTGATTTCATCATCTCTTCTACTGGCAGTTCTTCCCAAGTGAGCATGAACACTGGCATATCGGAACCCATTTTCAATGGCTCCAAAGCCTCACTTCTTCAATCCCTTCAACCCATCAGCACCTTGTTAAGTTGTTTGCTAGTATTTTAGGCAAAACAGAGACCCCCTTAGAACCCCCTATCTTTTTTTATTGGTAAAGGGAAAAATATTTAGATATATATATATATATATATGTAATGAAAAGAAGTTAAGTGTTAATTAAATTTTATAGAAGAAATAGAAATGACTAATCAATATCATCATCCTCTTCTTTTTCTAATTATGTTTGTAAATTATCAAAGAAGTATGTATATGTATGAATGGATCATTATAATTTTGTTTTTGTGTTTAATTAATGTCTGATTCTTTACAGTTTTTCTTTATATTGCTTCTTCCTCCTTAGTTTACTTTTGTTCATCTCAAAACTGGACACAATCTTTTCATAGGAGGTTTTATTTTTTTTGTGAATTTTACATCCATACGAGACGAGATAATTATATTTGATTTTATGATTAATTTTTATGCAAATAAAAAAATTAATCTTGATTTTGACCTTATGTTAATCTTTTACAAAAATTTTGGAAACAAATAACTAATCACTTTTTTTTTTTTTATTCCAATTAGTAATAGAGGATAAGAGAGGAGAAGGTGCATTCACAACACTAAAACTTGAACTTAGACATTATGTCTAGTACACTTCATCTAATATCTATTAGGTTAATCTCTTGATATTAATCACCTGATGTTTTTGTCTGCACAAAAAAAAATTCTCATGCTTGATTTTGTTTATTTGAGAGAAATAATAATATATTAAACTAAGTCAATCTAATTTAAGTGCCAAATAAATATTCCAGACAAGAAAATCTATTTTAACAGAATTTTTTCATAAAAAAGTGTATTCAATGGGGGATATTATTCATTGTAGACTCACAATAAAACATAGCAAATAGTTTAGCAAAGTGCCGTCATATAGATAGATAGATTAAAAATCTTTTCAATTGCAATGCCAAGATCCAGTTTTGGTGTTTTAGTCTTACTACATGTATATTATATACATACAAAGAGATTTAACAAATCTAATCCCTGCATTTTGCTTTTTATGCCTGCTTATGTTAAGCTTAAAGAACTAATGAATGATGAAGAGAAGTTTTTCTCCACCTGACGATTTTTTGCTACAGCTGTTAATTATGCAATTTGAGGTGAAAATTTCAGAGAGAGACAGGGAAAGAGAGTGATGGACTTTGGTTCAAGTCCCACCCAAGGAGGTAGAGGCTTCTTAGGCAACGAAACTTGACACACACGACGAACTAAGCACAAATGACTTGTAGCGACGACAAATCATGCCTAAGAACTAGGCACAAACCACGATGATCTAGTTTTTAATTTTCAAAGTTAGCAAATAGTTCGGGGTGTGACAATCATGGTTCTACATTGACATTTTCCCTTTTTCTTTGTGATAGGCATTTTGCATTGAAGTATTTTCTCAACGTATATACTTTAATGTTTAACTCTTTGTGTTTTCTCCTCGTATTTTCAGGAAGATATATTTTTACATTTTATTAATTTCTCTTTAACTCTTTGATATGATAAGATAGTTAATGCAAAAAGTCTTTTGTAATCATCCATTGATGCATATCTTCCTCTCCTTAATTTTGTTGAGTGATTTCGCAAATGGTTTCTTTGGAAGCGGTTTTTTTGATCCAATGGAATAGATCATATTAGTTTTTAAAAATTACATATTTTTCCATTAAGTTTTCTTTGATTGAATAAAAGATCATGTTACTGCACTGTTGTAGGGTTCTGTTAAGTATTACTGCCAATTATTTTTATCAGTTAAATATATTTGCAATTTTGATTGTGGTGGCTAAAACTATGCCTCTTTAAATGCAGAGTGGGAAGTCTGCAGCTATCTATGCTCGTGCAAAAGAACAAGATTTTCATGTTTTTGACGTACTGATAAATTGGTGATATCCTCGTTATTGGACCATTTTGCTCGTTATCTTTTTGAAAATTAAAGGCACATGCAACTTGAGTGATGGCTCTACCACCTGTCCAATCTACATAGAAACTTCTGAATGCGCAATTTATCATTCAATCAAATGCAATTTTCTCTTCCCGAAGTGATTTAAAATCAAGCCTTTTCTTTTTCTATAATTTTATCTAAAATGCATGGATAAATTAGAAGCTTAATAGTCACAGTTTGAAATATATAAACTACTGTTCAATTTTATGAAGTTTTCTAGTGAAGTAAATCTGGATGGTCATCCCTTTGGCAACTCTTTTGTCTACATGGAGGCATAGAAACGAGTGTGTTTTCAATGGATCTCAACCAGACTTTGAAGCTTTATGTGAAATTGTGAAAGTTAGCTTTGTGGGTCAAGGCCTCGCCATTACCTGTGAACGTTTCTGTGAATGATCTGGTTTACAATCTGCAGCAGGTCAAGTTTTGTCTCAGGAATGGTGGTTGAGTGTGTATCTGTTTTGAATGTTTATCTGTTTTGTATCAGGAATTGTGGCTGAGCTAGTGTATAGGCTAAGCTAGTGTATGGTCTGGTTATTGAGGATAGTGCATGGTCTGGTTTGTGCTGTCAGAGGTTTCTGTGTATGTTCTGTTTTACAATACAATTTGAGTGGTTCCTGTTTCAGTGTTTGATCTGTGCTGTTCTGTTTCTGTGAGTGATCTGTTATCTGTTTCTGTGAATGTCCTGGATTACAAACTGGATTGAGCTATTGCTGATCTTTTGCTTCTGTAATGGTGGCACATTGGGCTTGCTTTCGCTGGTTGAGTGGTTATCTGGGTTGCCCTGTTCCTTTGGGATTGGTTATCTGTTTTGCTGTTCTGTTATCTGTTTAGTGCTGATCTTGGTTGTTATCGGTTTTGCTGTTCTTGGTTGTTGCTTGCTTTTGGAATACCTCTTCTAATCACACTTATTGTTCTTGTAGTTTCTCTGTGCAATAAAGTATATGCTCAGGAGATTGAAGATAACAAAGCTATTGACCATCATGAATTGATCGATGAAGAAAATCTTCAGTTAAATTCTGCGACTGCTGGGAGAATGGTAAGGAGAAATTATGACATTCAATTTTATTGCATATTAGGATAGCTGTCCAATAATTGTTATTCTTTTCAAAAAGCTTGTCATTTTATGATATCTAATACAGTACACTATTTGCTGCATGTTCTTTTATCTCATGCCATTTTTTGGTGCTATTTTGTGTGGAGAACTTTCCTTTCACATTCCAGGTTCAGGAAAAATAGCATGAAGTTCATTGAGTAGTAGTCAATTGCAAATGATATTCTCTATTTGCAGTTTGTTTCGCTTAGTGAAACTATTATAGTGGTTTTGGAGGGAAGTGCTAAAATGATAGGAGTTGATTGAATGCTAAGAACTGCTTCAAATGGTAACAATGCGCCAATTGTAAAATATGTGTGTGTGTGTTTCCTTTTTTTTAAAAAAAAAAAAAAATTAGCTTTTGAAATTGAGATTTTGAACATACATGTCAATTAATAGCCTCTTCTTACTGAGGCTTTCAATGTTCTAATGTCTTTCCATACTGTCACCAATCTCTTTTCTTTCTTTAGTCAGATTGGCATATTGAGAGCCATTCTCTTATTTTCTTAGTTTTCTCATGGATTCCGTTGGAGTCATTATTTCCTTCTATCAACTGAAGTTGGAGAGTTTTGCAGAATATGAACTTTGGTGGCCAGATGGGCCTATGTAGATTGCCAAATTGGTTTACTGATAAATTAGAACATATAATTAGATTGAAAAATACTCAGCGGTTTATTTCTTGTTTTTGCTACTCGAACTGTTCCCCGTATTTCAAAAGTCTGACAATGTATTCCTAGAATGTTACTATAGCTATGTGCAACAAATGATGGTTGATTGCAAGAATCTACACCACCGACCTGTGCATCAAATTTGCAGACAATTTTTGGTGAGTCAAATGAAGTTCACAGTGAACCAGAGATCAACAATGATGCAGGTACAGTTTATAATTTTTCTGTTTATGCTATCTTGGGAATTGTTTTTTTTTATCTTTAGTTAGAGATTTGTCACTAGAGCATGTGTACTTTTTGACATGAAGATGAAGTTTTTTTGAGAAATTTTGTTTTGAGTGTTGCTTTATTCCTCCTAAAAAAGGTGGAAATGAAAATGCTGGAAGTCACTGCTTCATGTTTCCAGAAAATGGTCTGTATGTATCTAACGTAATTTATCTGTTTCTTTCTTTTGGTTTTGAATACAATATTGATCAGCTAAAGCTGCCCATAACTCAAAATTTCCTTCACTAAAAGGCACTTAAAGAGATTGGGTTCACATATTTAAAAAATTACATCATCCTTGACTAGTGCGAAAATTGTAAGATGAGCAGAACAAAGAAGCAACACATTTTGTTTTGGATGATCACCAAAAAGCAATTACTAGACCCCCAATGCCTGCATTGCATTCAAACTCATTTCATTTGTTGCCTGCACACCAGTTTAATTCTTTATCACTTACATTCCCAACTTATTTAATGTGCCACTTGAATGAATAATGATGAAATATTGCTTGATCCATGAAGAGTTCTTTGTTGGAGATAGGTGTATAAATCTTTGCATATGTTCGTAAAGAATGTCAAACAACATAGATTTTTCTTATTGGATTTTGTTTTTATAAAATATTTCAAGCACATGTCTTAGCTTTGGAAATAAAAACCATCTTCTGCACATGACAGCGCAAAGCAGAAGATTCACGTTCAGTTTTGAACTGGTCCGCTTTTGGGAGATGATGACAGTGATGATAACAGCAGAAGCTCTAGTGAGTATCAAACTTGCAATGTCTCAGATTTCTACATTTCTGACATGATTGCTGCAGGCTTACCCTTTGAAGGCAACTCAATTTATGATGACTTCACAGAAGTTATTTGCTTGCTTGATTACAAATGTGATGAGCCAACTACGTTTTTTGATGTGGCTGAGGAATACATGATACTGCCTTTCCTTGAGGATACCATGGAGGCAGGTGGCAATCATGATGGCAGAACTTGTGAGGACACCATTATAGATTTAGATGATTCAAGCTTGTATCTTGCAATCCATCAGTTGAGATCCTGCAATGAGGAACCTGATGTGAATCCCTACTCAGATTCAGATCAATTAGAGTGCTTTGATCCACACAAGTTTATCAGAAATCTACCTGACCCACCAGATGTGGCGCCAAAATTTCACCCCACTACATTGCTAAATGAATCACAGAAAATGAAATCCACTACCCTAGTACTGGATTTGGATGGTAAGAAAATTGAACTCCTTTGATCTGTTTACTATTAATCTTGATATTATTTCATTTTATCTTATCTAGTTTATTTCTCGGTTATGTCAGTATGATATTTATGATCCACACCTATAGTGAACTTTCAACTTCAGGTGTACTTGTATTTCTACGAATCATTTTAAAGAATTTTTACATAAGTTTATGCTTCCAAAGGTTGGTCACACTAGCTTTTATTTGTGCAGAAACACTTGTCCACTCTACGTTGGAACATTGTGAAGATGCGGATTTTAGCTTTCCAGTCTTTTTCAATATGAAAGAGCACAGAGTCTATGTAAAACAGAGGCCTTACCTTCAAATGTTCCTAGAGAGGGTTACTGAGATGTTTGAAATCGTGGTGTTCACAGCCAGTCAAAGCATCTATGCAAAACAGCTTCTGGATATACTGGATCCAGATAGAAAACTTATCTCTCATCCAGCTTATTGTGAATCATGCATTTTTTCAGATGGACGTTACACCAAGGACTTAACAGTTTTGGGTGTTGATCTTACAAAAATTGCTATAATTGACAATTCTCCTTAGGTAGACTTCCTGCCCATTGACTTTCACGCATCCTTTGTAAAGAATATTTGGTTGATAATTGTTACAAGTTACATAGATATGCATGATTTTGTGAATGTGAATGTGGATATAATTGGATGTGGATGTGGATGTGGATGCGGATGTGGATGTGGATGCGGATGTATTTTATTTTAAAAAATATTAATAATTTGTACCGGTAATGAATTAATAAAATATTTATTTGTTTTATGAAAATAATTTTATTGTGACAATAATAAATCGTTCTTAATGTGCTCATCATTTCCTTACATTTTATTAGCGACGGGTTAATCTGTCGCATATATATCGTAGTTCAAATCTTTCACGACGGTTTAAATTGTCACAAATATGATATTAATTTAATTCTACTTTTTTGCGACGTTTTAAACCGTTGGTAATAATACTTTTCGTGACGGTTTAAATTGTCGTAAATACGATATTAATTTAATTATACTTTTTTTGCAACGTTTTAGACCGTCGTTATTAATACTTTTTGCGACGTCAAATACCATCGCTAAAAAAGTTTTGGCGACGGCAATCAACACCATCACTAAAAGTGAATTTTTTTTTCCTTTTTTTGTGTCAGGTTAAACCGTCGCAAAAACCATTGATTAGCCGTCGCTACAAGGTTGCGACGATTTGTAACCGTCGCAAATACTTTTTGCCACACCCCCTTCCGCCACCCCTCATTTCCCGTCGCCACTCCGTCATAAAAAGTCTTTTGCAACGATATGTGAATCTTTTGCGACGTTTAAGACGGTCGCAAAAGCTCCAATTTTTAGTAGTGAGGTGAAATTTGTTAAAAATGTTCCTATAATTTAAACACCCCACTCAACAAGAGCTACAAAATTTCATTAAAAGTATAAAAACTCAACCCTCTAACATTACAGGACAAATGCACTTACATCAGAGGGATGAATAACAAAATATTAAAGAGTGCATTTTTTTTACAACCACCATATGATTCATTCTTCCAATTAAACCTAGTTACAGGATCTCTGGTCCCTAGGTTGGGTATCCTCATACATGGTTTATGATTTTATAGGCTTCAGACTCATCCCCCTCGATGTATTCCAGACCCTATCTCTTACTAATGCCTTGGTTAACGGATCAGCAAGATTATCACAAGATCTTACATAATTCACAGTTATGATGCCATTACTCAATTAGTATCTCACATTACTGTGTTTCCTTCGAATTGGCCTGGATTTACCATGATAAAAATGATTGTTCACTCTACCACTAGCAGCAATGAATTAACGCAGGAGGAATTGTTTTTCCCAAAAAAGGATTTCATGTAACAAATCTCTCAGCCAATTCACTTCCTCACATACTGAAGCTGAGCTTAACGCTATAAACTCAGCTTCCATAGTAGAATTAGCAATTATAGTATGGTTTTTAGACTTCCAACATATAGCACCACCACTCAAGATAAAAATAAAACCCGAGGTAGAGAGAGAATCATCTGACAAAGTGTTCTAATCGACATCGCTATATCCCTCAAGTACCACAGGATACTTGTTATAAGTAAACTATCATTTTTGGTACCAGATAAATATCTCATTATTCTTCCCATGGCTAGCCAATGATCTCGACTTGGCTTGCTAGTAAACCTGCTAAGTACTCCAACAACATATACAATGTCAGGTCTAGTACAGTCAGTAGCATATCTCAAACTACCAATCATGCTAGCATATTCTTTTTGATTAATCACTTCTTTTTCATTTGTTACAACAAATAATTGTATGATTGCATCAAAAGGAATAGCAACATATTTATAGTCTAGAAAGTTATATTTCTTTAAAATTTTCTCAACATTATGCGACTGATCAAGAAAAATGTCATCCTTAGTCTTGGTAATTTTAATTCCCAACATAAAATTGGCTTCACCAAGATCTTTCATATCAAAGTGGCTATTAAGCATATTTTTAGTCTCATTTATAATATGTAAATTAGAGCCAAAGATAAGTAAATCATCCACATATAGGTTAATAATCACATGTGCATTCTCACAAGTTTTATAATATATGCACTTATCACATTCATTAGTCTTGTAGCCATTCTCAAGCATGCATGAATCAAATTTCTCATGCAACTGTTTAGGAGCTTGTTTTAAACCATAAAGGGATTTAATTAGCTTACACACCTTGCTTTCTTGGCCAGGCTCCACAAAGCCCTCGGGTTGGTCGATGTAAATCTCTTCATCTAGATCTCCATTTAAAAATGTTATTTTTTCATCCATTTGATGAATTTTTAAATCATGAATTACAGCCACTGCTATCAACAATCTAATGGATGTAACTCTAGTAATTGGAGAAAAAGTATCAAAGAAATCAAGATCAACTTGTTACTTAAAATCTTTAGTGACAAGCCTCGCTTTATATTTATCTATAGTTTCATCCGGTTTAAGTTTTTTTATGAAGGACCAATTTACACCCAATAGTTTTACAACTTGGAGGTAAATCCACTAGCTTCCATGTTTTACTTGAAAGTAGTGAATCTATCTCATCATTTACAGCCTCGCTCCAGAAAATAGCATCAGGTGATGATAAAACTTCTTGTACTGTAAGAGGAATTTCTTTTACATTATAAAGATAATAGTCAGGGCCAAAATCTTTTTCAACTCTAGCTTGTTTACTCCTCCTTGGTTGGATTTGAAAATTTTCTTGTTCTTGAAAAACTTGAGATCGAGTAGAAGAGCTAGGCATGGATAAACTATTTTCAGAAATTATTTGACCCTTACTATTTCTAGATTTGAAAGGAAATTTATTTTCATGAAAAATAGTATCACGTAATTCAAAAATACGATTATTTTCCATATTAAAAAATCTATAGGCTATACTGTGCAACGCATACCTAAGAAAAGCACAAGTGGTAGCTCATTCACCGAATTTAGGTCGTTTAGGATCTGCAACCCTCACAAAAGCTAAATAACCCCAAACCCTCAAATAACCTAAATTTGGTTTATGCCCCCACCACAACTCATAAGGTACAATTTTAGTCCTTTTGTGTGGCACTCTATTTATCACATGGCAAGTTGTCAAAATAGCCTCGCCCCAAAAATTTGAGGGAGCACCTAAATCAATAAGCATAGCATTCGTCAAGTCAATTAACGTTCTATTTTTTCTTTCAACTACACCATTAGATGAAGGTGAATATGGTAGAGTAGTCTCATAAATAATTTTCAATGCCTAAACAAAGGAGTTGAATCCAAAAGATTCATACTTTCAGCCTCTATTACTTCTAATTCTCTTAATGTTTTTACCGAATTGATTTTCCATTTCAAAAAGGAATTCTTTAAATTTCTCAAAAGCATCACTTTTATTTTTTAATAAATATAAGTTTGTGTATTTTGAAAAATCATCAATAAAAGTGACAAAATATCGGTTACCACCATGAGTTAAAATTCCTTCAAACTCACAGAAATCAATATGAAATAATTCTAGCAATTCGATATTTTTTTTTCAACAGTTTTATAAGGCCTCTTGGTAATTTTTGCTTACTGCAAACTTCACATTTCTCAAATTTTTTTGTCACTTTAAGAATTAATCCTAAACTACTCATGATTCCCACATATTTATTGTTAATTTGACACAAGCGAGCATGCCAAAAGTTAATAGAAGACAAAGTGTAAGTGGTGTCATAGTAATAATCATAAAATTAATCAGCAAGGAAATTTAAGAGATAAAAATGACATTTATACTCATCTGTATTATAAGAAGCCACTTTTGCTTCATGTGCCTCGTAGTCTTCATCATTCATCTCTTCGGTTGGGATTTTGTTTGGGTTTTTCTCGGAAAGAACATATGCAACTTTCAAAAGGCTAAGGTAAAAAAAAAAAATTCCTTTCCACCTCTTAAAATGAACTCCCTTAAACTTGAAAGGCTTGTTAAGATCTCAAATTCAATCATTGATTTTTTGAGTTCTTGTTCCATTATGATCTCCTTAAAATTGTTGGTGAAAATACCAGAAGAATTATATTTTATTGATAAATAATGCAAAAAAATGAGATATAAATAGATCAGGCTGAGACATGGATATCTCGTTTTCTTTAAGGAGATCAAGCCCACTGCGGTAGGAAGAACCCAAATACCGATGCAGAAGTCACAAAACTATGACTTGTCCTTTCCAAGATACAACAACCCGACCACTTGTTGTATGGTTCAGGCCAACTCTACACAAGATGGTGAACCCAAAGCTCCACTAAGAAAAAACACCCTTCTTTGACTATTAATCTCTCAAGTGCAAAAAATAATTAGTGTAGAAAAGAGTAGATGAGATGAACTATTTATAGGCCACTAGAACTTATAAAGCCTTCGTTTGGCAACTTGGGTTGGGTTGGGTTGGGTTTGGGGCTATTTTAACCACAAAAAGATACAATAGACTTTTTAGCCCAATAAGACAAAATATCACATCCAGCCCATAATCATTACATTCTTTCTCTCACAAAAGTCAAAAAAAGCCAAAAAAGCAATCCCAAACAAGGCTTTTTAGCCTTAGGCCAAAATAGCCAAAAAGCGAAAAAGCAAACCCACTTCCCAAAGGAACCCTTTTTACACTAAAAAATAATAATGATCATTAAACTAGAAAAAATGGAGAGTCTCTAAATATAAACTCACCACCAAGTTTATGAACTCCAATTAATCTTCATTCATGAACAAGACAAAAGGACATGAAAACAATGAATCTCCACTCATGAACAAAATGAGATTCATGAACAAGACAAAAGAAGATTTATGAACAAAATATATAAATAAATAAATAAAAGATATTAAAATGGTCCAACACTTTATTTATACACATATATGAGAGGTGTGAATTCAAGTTGGAAGTCGTTTCATCTTATGGCTAGTCGGTGGTCAAGTTTAACAGGTTTGGTGGCAGCTTTGTTGACCTCCTTGAAGCTTCTCTAAGCTTCTGGCAGCCTCTATTGATGACTTGGTGAAGCTCTCCATTCACACATGGAACAGAACCCAACAATCACCCCTTTCTACTCATGTGGGGTGATGTGTCATATCTACAACAAAACCTGTAGGGGTGGGCAACAGTTTATTTGACCCGCACAACTCGTCCCAACCGACCT